GCTCATTTTGCCTCCGAGAAATGAGCAAAAACGGGACGGAAAACATGAAATTTTGGCATAATCTTGCACCTAAGTGTCTGATATTCAAATTTCAAGTTTTGGGTCAAAACTACTTGAATTTCCTTGAAACAAATTTTAAAACCTGAAGAGCATTTTGTAATTATATAGAAGTTTTATTAAAAAATAATTAAATGTGACAAGACTAAATAAGCTATATTTCCACTGACGTCACGCTAATCGACGCAAGATCCTGCCTTGGATTCATTATATCATGGACCATAAGCCTTGTTCGCCTTGTTCTATGATCACAGAACATACCCCCTGGGGGGATATTTTGTGTTCTATGATCATGGACACAAACAGCTGATGTTGTTGTCAGTGTGTGTGATTTGTAGGTTAGGATTGTAGTGATGTTCCATTTAAGTAACAACTAGAAACTAGTTATAGTTGTTAAGTGAATAATGAGCGAAATAGAATTTTCTATGCTCTAGGTTGTAGGCTGTAAGGAGCTGGAGGTGCCAAATTCCAGATGGGGCAGGCAAACAGCCAACTGACGCATGAGGAGCTGCAAGATTACCAGGTACCATTTGCAACATACACCCACAACTAGTTTTACTCAATTTCGCTCACATTCAATTGACTTCAAGCTAGTACCAGAAATGTTATATAATAACTTTGAACTGATTCTACGTTCATTTACAGGATCTCACCTATTTCACGAAAAAGGAAGTTCTTTTGTAAGTATAAAAAGCTGTTGTACCGTTTGGAAATATCGTGAGTGTTTGCAGCGTCCATCAAAAATTCAAAGCTTTGGCGCCGGAAAAGGTGGGCCATAATAAAAATGCGAAACTCCCAATGGCCAAAATCCTCCTCTATCCCGAATTGAGCGTTAATCCCTTTGGGGAGAGGATTTGCCGGGTGTTTAGTTCTAGTCAAGATGGCGATTGCACTTTTGAAGATTTCCTAGATATGATGTCGGTTTTCTCCGAAGCTGCCCCCAAATCTGTTAAGGCTGAGCACGCCTTTCGGATCTTCGGTAAGGGCTGATGTCCCCCTAGTGCTGGTGAATTTAGATGAATTATTCTAGACTTTGATGGCGATGATATGTTGGGGGTGTCTGATTTGAAACTACTGATCAGCAAATTGACCGGAGAAAACAAGCTGGGTGAAAGCGATTTGAATATGTTGGTGCAAAACATTCTAGAAGAGGCTGATCTGGATGATGATGGCGCTCTGTCTTTTGCGGAGTTTGAGCACATTATTGACAGGTCTTCAGACTTTTTAAAGTAAGTTTATGAAAACAGCTTACAAGCGAAATTAACTGAGAGCCTGTTCCAGCTCTTTCCGTATAAGGTTGTAATGGATCAATACTCAACTCGGACAAGAAGAATCTCAAGTGAATAGCTTTAAGCTGCCGATCTCATTTTTCCTTTTCCGCTTCTTGTGTGCTCTCTAGGTACATTAAAGCCACATCAAACTAATGGTTTAATTCATTATTTATTCTGTTATAAAAACTTTTAGAGGTTTAAGATCAATTACCTTCTTTTCATGCTAATAAGATTGAGTTAATTCTGCAAATACCCAGGAAGCTTCATTTTCATAAATACCCATGTTGTGCAGAACGAAACTAGGACACATATGTAGCCAATGGATGTCATCAGTACTCTGTTTAGTTTGGGCATAGTTGAGCTGTGGACGTTATCTAGAATAATAAACCCCAGACCTCCCATGGAAAATAGGAAACTGGAAGCCAAGCCTTCCATGATATACTGGCCATTGACCCTGTAGGGCATAAAAGCCACCTAAAAGATTTTCTGTGCTCGACCAAAACTAGCCTAATGCTTGGTATAATCACTCACAGGTCTTTGATGCCCATGCTCATCTGTGGTGGATCCAACGCCTGGCGGCTCTACGATAACATCGTAAATGATTCCTGAAAGATTCAGGAGGTATATTAACAAGATTTAGGCGAGTGCCGGGTTGACTACCTCCGGTTACTAAGAAGTATGAAAAAAGCACTAGAGAAAACACCAACATCAATGAGGGTTGCTTTAGCCATGACGGCTTTTTCAGCTTAATCTGCGGCACTTCCAGTATGGCAAAAGGAAAGGTGAAAAACTGCTCCATTATTTATTACGCCTGGCAAAATATTCCACGTAAAATCTCGTTTGTTTTGATATTTGACAACATTCCTAACCTCAGATATAGTTGTTTGACGTTCAGATCTGGTGCTAACTAGTAAATAGAAGTTTGTTTTGATTAACGTAACCTCAAACTAACTTGCGCGTGTCATTTAAGCGAAGGAGCGATTGCGATATATGCGCTAGTCCGTATATCTAGACGCTTGTGGCCTGGCCACAGATTATCAAACTATATTACTACTATCACCCCTGTTTCCAAATTATGTACTTTTCAGGAAATCTTTACTAGAACTTTTCAGGAAGGTTTCTTCTGAGTGAGTTTTGCCGATAGCAGTTCCAGACAGTTTTCATACAGAAATTGGCAGCTTCATGATTGTTGGAATTTGGAATTATCGCAAACTGTGAACTGAGAAGCAATAAAAAAAATAGTAAAGTAAAAAAAATGTATACTCCGATAAGCCTCCTCCGACAAGTCCTCAGAACTTCATTCATCATCATTGTGCCTGCGGTTGACCTCCCTATATATTGATGTTCATTTGTGAGGTTAGGCAAGCACCACAGATTACACAGTTAACCTCTGTGATCTGTGGGCAAGCACATCAAAACCATAGATCACAGACTACATACTATTGCCATAGATAAAGACAAGTATCAAAACTTTGTTGATCAGCAAAGTCGATAAGAAAACTAATTCCAGACATATAATGAAACTGATAATGTGAGCAGGTAGTTTTAAAATAATGGTAAAAAGTCAACTATCATTCAGGTTGCGCCAAAATGCTTCCCAAAATATGCAGAGAAGTTCAAAAAAAGACGTCCTTCGAAAAACCAACAAGTCACAACCGCCGTAAGTTTCCCCTTGTTGGAATTCAGTGGGGAATTCACATGTTGATTTTTAGCAAGCCTGAGAAGAAGGTCGCAGAATCTGTAGCTAGTGGCTTGGCTTTTCCTAGCGGCGACACAGCCTTTAAGGCTCTGTTGTCGGTCCGGTTTTTCGCCGCTATTTGGTCCCATGTGACTGATTGCGATGAAGCTTTTAATTACTGGGAGCCCACACACTATTTGAGTATGGCGTGAAAGCTACGCATCTTATGCAAGTAAACATTGAAACCGTTTTAGTCTTCAATCAAGGCCTACAGACGTGGGAATACAGCCCCCAATTCGCCCTCAGGTCCTACTTCTACTTGATGATTCACGCTGCTCCCATGTGGATCTACCACAGCCTTCTCCAACCCAATCCTCTTTTAATGTTCTACTTCACGCGGTGTATTTTAGGGCTGCTGTGCGCATTTGCTGAAGTGTATTTCTACAAGTAGGTGCTGAACTTCTATTCGAAACTATTAACCGACTATTGAATTCTAGGGCGATTTGCAAGGAATTCGGAGTTCACATAGGGCGCATTTGTTTGGGCTTTCAGCTGTTGAGTCCTGGCATGTTCATCGCCAGCACCGCCTATTTGCCTTCCAGTTTTGCCATGTATAATTTGACTGCAGCTTTTGCTGCTTGGTGGCAGCAGAAGTATGTCCTGGCTATTTTCTTCACAGCCGTGGGATCTTTGTTGGGTTAGTCCTGCAAGAGCCTCCAACTTCCTTTTTTCACTGGGCCTGTTTTAGGTTGGCCATTTGCAGCCCTGCTAGGGCTGCCCATAGTCCTTGACATGGTAATCCAGAGGAGGCTTTATAAGAATTTCATCCTGTGGTCAGCTTTAGTCGCAATTATCATTGGAGTTCCGATGGTTCTAGTCGACTCCTTATTCTATGGGAAGCTAGTAATCGCCCCGTTCAACCTTGTTAAATACAATGTATTGGGCGGGGCTGGTCCAGACTTGTATGGCACTGAGCCATTTTCCTTTTACCTAGTCAACGGGTTCCTCAATTTCAACATCATTTGGGTAAAGGGAGGAGGCCAAGAACGTTTGGGTGTAATGATCAAAGTGATTTCAGGTTCTAGCCCTGTTCAGCCCAGTCGCGATTGTTCTCAACTACTTCTTTGTGCCGTCGAAGAACAAGAGCACCTTGTACCTGCCCCATTGGCTCTCATTGAGCCCCATGTATCTGTGGCTTGGGGTGTTTATGTTCCAGAGGCATAAGGAGGAGCGATTCCTGTTCCCCATCTATCCAATGATTTGCCTTGCGGGTGCCATTTCGTTGGACATTGCTCAAAAGCTGATGTTCAGAGTGTGGAATGTGTTGAGGAAAATGCCGCAGGGGACGCATTATTTGGACAAAACCACTGTTATAATGTTGCTGGCGGTCGCATTGTCTTCATTGCTGGGTACGTAACTGTAAAAGTATTGAATAGCGTGATTATTTCACGTATTTCTATTGTATTCGGTTTCGGATCACGGATTTTTGTGTTTTGCTGACGTCGTGGCGGATGCGAATGGAGAATTCTTGTTTTGATTATGCTTTCGCTATAAATCGTTGAATCGTAATCGCTGGCAATAGTCAAAATAACGAATAGTTTAACATGAGTAACGAATTCTTTAAAGTGACACAATCAACACGTTCAGTAAGTAGTGAAACTTAGCGACTGGAATACAAAGGTACTTTAACAAAACCTCTGTTGCATTTTAGGAATTTCGAGAATGTTTGCGTTGTACAAGAACTACCACGCGCCAATGGATCTAATGATGGAACTGAATCGCTATCCGGGTGAAATTACGGTTCCAGATCACAGTCAGATACACGTGTGCTTTGGGAAGGATTGGCACAGATATCCCAGCTCATTTTTCCTGCCAAATGTTAACTGGAACGTTCATTTCGTTAAGTCTGAGTTTGATGGGATGATGCCAGCCCCGTATTCGTCCGACCCGAATGCTACCGAACTGATACATCCTTATTTTAACGACGAGAATAGAGAAGAGCCAAGTCTGTACTACAACGTAAGCCGTTGCCACTTTCTACTGGATCTGGATTTGGGGAAAGAGACTGAGCTGGAGCCCATTTATGCCAGAAGAACTGAGTCCTGGAAAGTGTTGTCCAGTTACAAGTTTTTGAACACCGAAAGATCCCATCCCTTGGCCAGAGCGTTCTACATTCCATTTGTGTCGGAGACGTTTATTGAGTTTGGCAACTTTTCGCTACTCCAGTCGATTAAGTTCAAAATCAAGTAAATTCGCCTGCTTATAGCGGTTTGAATGTTCTGTTTAATGTGTGCATTATTACAATTTTTGTTTCATATATTGTCTGTTATTATTAAATTAATTGTGTACAGAGAAAATGCGGGTCGATGTTTGTATTCAGCAATAATTTTTTTTATGTCATTGTTGTGAGTTTATAATAAAATGTTACTTCGCAGGATGACTTTTTTTCTTATCTAATTTAGTGCAGGGTTTTGTTTTTTAACCGACCGCACCACAGGCTGCTTGGTGGTTTGAAAAGAAAAGCATGTGTAAAATTCTTTATTCAAAGACATAGTTTCGTTACAACTAATAACCAATTCGATTGCTTAATGTGAAAACTTGGTGTTTCACTGTGGATAATTTACGGATTCAATACACAATTGAAACGAAGTCCGTATTGGTTTATCATCGGTCCTACACTATCGGACGCGTAAAGCAACATTTCGCAAAAACCTATGCAAATCACGATATCCTAATTATACAAGCATGATTTTATGAGTCCAAATCATCTCAGTCAGAATTTAGCCGAAAATTGTTCCTTTTCTTGTCCGATAATGTATGTACACACACACACACATTCATTTTGAATTAATATAAACTTATTAAACAAGATATGACATTAATAATATTATAATATTGCTATAAAGACTAGTGTACACATAGTTAATGCATAGAACAGTTAAAATGTCGAAGATAATAAAATACGCATTGCAAACAGCAAAAGGCAAGAAAATAGATTTCTATTATTCTCGGTTTTCTGCTGGAATTTCGCAAAAATGTATTTAATATCTTGATTACAACAGCCCCTGAACGAACCACTAATCGCATTAAATGAACATAATAAAACATAATTTTTATATGATTTTGATGACTTGAATTATTTCTACAAGTGTGAAACATGGATATTAACAACAACAGTCAAACTACAATAATTTGTTGTTTTAAGCACTTCTGTTACTAGCGAACTTTCTTCTGTATTGTCAGAATATCAGTAGTCAATGTTCTAAAAAAAATCAGTGCTAGAAGCACATGCAAACCTACAGATTATGTGGTCAATTGTGACATTTTTTGCCGTTATTTAACTGAATATGAAAGTTAGGTAAATATGTTTGAACAAGATCAGTTTTTCGTTCTACGATCTCATTCATCAATGTCTTGTTTGATTTCATGTAGATTTTTGTTACATAGCTCCAAAGCAGCTTGTAGATCAATACAATCGTATTCTTTGATACCTGACTGTCTAGGGAAGTTTTTAATCGGCTCTATTTGCTGCTTCAAGCAGGAGAAGACAAAATGATCGCTATGTTCTGTTGATAGTATTCTACTTGTGATTTGTCCAATTTGATGCAATTGCAACAAATCGTCAAGAGTTTTGTAACCTTTAATAGTGGACATCCACATACTGGAAATATTGTCGTTGTAAGTATTATTGGGGATACGAGCATAAAGTTTGTAGAAATGTTTATCGTCTCTGAAAATATCCGCGTTACACATCATCGGATCGATAACTAAATTGTCCTCGGGAGAGATTTTGGACTCGGTTACTATTGCAAGACTGTCCTTGTCAAGAATCGGTATTGCGCCATCATTATCGTGATCGGATTCTTGTTCTGATCGTAACGAAACGTCATACACATATCTGGCGCATTTTTCCATACTCCTCATGTGCTGTTTGGACAACTTTTTGGGTTTGCCAGCTGGTCCAGATTCCCCACATTTTCCTGCCACAGCATCAGCACCCTTTTGACTGGCGTCTTGAGCCTCGACTTTCTTCAAATTTCCCAAATTGTCTGTCTTGTTAAGGGGAAGAGTGGATAAATCCTGATGCAAATCATTTGCAGGTTCCTTTGATGACCCATTGAACTTGTTTCCACTTATTTCAGCTTCCTTTAAATCACCGTTATTATCAATACCCAAATCTATGCTTTCATGCAGATTGTCGCGTGTTAAGTGCCTGTAGTTCTCTCCAACATTTATATCGCACAAACGGGTGTTCAAATTGCTCATATTCTCTTCGTCATGTTCAATATAAGATCCAAGAAGTAAATCAAACCCGTTTTTGCATTTTGAATCGTCAAGCATTGTAGCCACGCACTGCGCTTCAGCCGATAAAAGATATGTCGATGTTTCAAACTCAATTTTATTTGCTTCTATGGCCTTCAAGTGTTCAGGAAAAACGTCGGCTTTATCTTCCCAGTTTTCTGTTCTATGTTGTTTAGGTGCTGCTGAATACTGGGCGTCGTCCTCAGCGAGGGCTTGAGTTAACCTACTTGAAAGACTTTGCCATGCATCATTGTCACTTGTATTATCCATCAGCAACTCATTTGATTCAGCAGGGACTGGAGGAATGGCCAAATTCTCTAAATCATCGGAGAATTTGTGTTTAACTTCTGCACTTTTTCCTTTATTGTTTGTTGCGGCCTTTATCGACGGCGGAACGGTGATTTCGGTTGAACTTTCCAAACATTCCATATGTGGAGGATTGATTTTTTCGACTTCATCATTAGTTTGACCGATAACTTCTGGTTTTTGTTCATCGACATTTGATGCTCTGGGAGTCCATGCAATGTTGTCTAGATCGGTTCCTGTTTGGACCTGAAGAGTTTCATTAGAGCTAAGCTGAACCGCAAAATCTACGCTCTTTGTAGGTGTATTTTTCAGTTCTCTGGAATGATTATCTTCGTTGCCCTGGCGTGGAACTTGAGCAGTTGAAACAAGTTTGTCTTCACATTTTTCTGTTGCATCAGCCTCATCGTCCTGATCACATTCTAACTCAATCGCTGCCTCGTTTTCATGTTTCTCGCGTCGCTTGTCTTTATTTTCCCCACTGTTTGTGTCTGATGTGTTTTGTGTCAATTTTATTATTTGTGGATCTTCTCGTGGTGGTTCATTTATCGCACTTTTTTCTTCATATCTGCCAGTTTCTTCATTTGCGTTGCTCTGGTCACATTCTAAGTCAAGCGGTACATGAACTTCAAGTTTTTCTTCATCTTGTTCCCTGTCTATGTCTGATAGTTTAGGAGTCAATTCAATACTGTTTGGATCTGCTCCGGATGATGATGGCGGGACAATGATTTCCGCTGAACTTTCCAAACACTCCATATGTGGAGGATTGATGTTTTCGACTTCATCTTTAGTTTGACCGATAACTTCTGGTTTTTGCTGATGGATTTTTTCCTGCCTTTTATCAAGTTGTTCATTTGAAGCCACCTCCTCAGTGGCTTTCCACTCATTTTCTTTCAAATACTCAGCAGACTCACCTTTAGTGACTTCACTGGAAGGCAATTCAGATTTATGGCATTCTTCTGGTTTTAGAACGTCTTGTAGAAAGGCGCGAATAAAGTCAATTATGGTTACATATAATCTCGCATGAAGTTTTAAAGTTTCTGGTGAATTCGCTAAATATTGAGCATCGATAAGTTGGAAAACAATATGTTCCAGTAGTGCCAGGTCATCGTTGAGACTTGAGAAGCTTTCCCAATTTTCTTTTCTACATTTATCCTCTATGGTCATAATTAAATTGGTTAAGACACTTCTATTATCCTCACAATCCTTAACATTGTACGCATTGGAAGACTGTGAATTAATTGTTTCGTGAGCACTTTCTATAACGCTAATAACGAATTTAAGTCGACTAATTGTATACGGATTACTTTCAATCCCCGTAATTAAAGGTTTCAACAGTTTCTCCAGCGCCTCATACACCATTTCGGTACTTGGGTCTTTACTTTCTGTTTCAATCATTTCATCTCTATCTTTTACCTCTGAAGAATGGTTGCTCATTGTAGGTGATTTTCGTCCCATATCAGGCTGCATGTTTGCAATTTCTTTAGTTTTTCCTGTGTCTTTGTCTTGGCAGTATGCGCCTTTTGGTTCTCCGCTGCTTTGCTTCTTCTTATCTTCACGTTTGTTGACATTTGATGCTTTAGGAGTCCATGCAATGTTGTCTAGATCGGTTCCTGTTTGGACCTGAAGAGTTTCATTAGAGCTAAGCTGAACCGCAAAATCTACGTTATTTGTAGGAGCATTTTTCAGTTCTTTGGAATGGTTATCTTCGTTGCCCTGGCGTGGAACTTGAGCAGTTGAAACAAGTTTGTCTTCACATTTTTCTGTTGTATCAGCCTCATCGTCCTGATCACATTCTAACTCAATCGCTGCCTCGTTTTCATGTTTCTCGCGTCGTTTGTCTTTATTTTCGCCACTGTTTGTGTCTGATGTTTTTTGCGTCAATTTTATTTTATCTGGATCTTCTCGTGGTGGTTCATTTATCGCACTTTTTTCTTCATATCTGCCAGTTTCTTCCTTTCCATTGCTCTGGTCACATTCTAAGTCAAGCGGTACATGAACTTCAAGTTTTTCTTCATCTTGTTCCCTGTTTATGTCTGATAGTTTGGGAGTCAATTCAATACTGTTTGGATCTGCTCCTGATGATGATGGCGGGACAATAATTTCCGTTGAACTTTCCAAACATTCCATATGTGGAGGATTGATGTTTTCGACTTCATCATTACTTTGACCGATATCTTCTGGTTTTTGCTGATGGATTTTTTCCTGCCTTTTTTCAAGTAGTTGATTTGAAGCCCCCTCTTCAGTGGCGTTCCACTCATTTTCTTTCAAATACTCAACAGACTCACCTTTAGTAACTTCACTGGAAGGCGATTCAGATTTATGGCATTCTTCTGGATTTGGAACGTCTTGTAGAAATGCGCGAATAAAGTCAATTAGGGCTACATATAATCTCGCATGAAGTTTTAAAGTTTCTGGTGATTTTGCCAACTTTTGAGCTCGGATCAGGTGGCAAACGAGATTTTCCAATATTGCAAGGTGATATTCCTCAGGTTCAATTAATACGCTTTCCTCTATTTCGTTTCCAAATTCCCAATCTAGGAAGAGAAGGTGATTTATAATATTCGCACATGTGTTATCATTTTCAATAACGTTGTACTCATGAGAAGACGGCAGATTAATTGTTTCGTGACCACTTATTAAATTGCTAATAAGGTCTGTAAGTCGACTAACGGTATGCGGATTAATTTCAATCATCACAATTATCTTTTTGAACAGTGTCTCCAGAGCCGGATACATCCATCCGATAGTTGAGACTTCACTTTCTGTTTCAATCATTTCATCTCGATCTTTTACCTCTGAAGAATCGCTGCTCACTGCAGGTGATTTTCGTCCCATATTTACGTTTGCAATTTCTTTAGTTTTTCCTGTGTCTTTGTCCTGGCAACATGCGCTTTTTGGTTCTCCGCTGCTTTGCTTCTTCTTATCTTCGCCTTTGTTGACATTTGATGCTCTAGGAGTCCATACAATGTTGTCTAGATCGGTTCCTGTTTGGACCTGACGAGTTTCATTAGAGCTAAGCTGAACCGCAAAATCTACGTTATTTGTAGGAGCATTTTTCAGTTCTTTGGAATGATTATCTTCGTTGCCCTGGCGTGGAACTTGAGCAGTTGAAACAAGTTTGTCTTCACATTTTTCTGTTGTATCAGCCTTATCGTCCTGATCACGTTCTAACTTAATCGCTGCCTCGTTTTCATGTTTCTCGCTTCGCTTTTCTTCACTTTCCCCACTGCTTATGTCTGATGTTTTTTGCGTCAATTTTATTCTTTTTGGATCTTCTCGTGGTGGTTCATTTATC